AACTCCTGTACTTGATCAATATTTGAACTTACCAGTGAGATTGAAACTGACTCTAGCTGTGGCTTTGGCAATCCAGATAAATGGAGCCACCTTCTCCTTAACCTTTACTTCAACTGTACGCTCCCCTGTATATGGTGAATACCTCCCATGATCACAGGTAATATTCCAGTAGTCTGTTTTTGCATCGACATAATGCTGAAAAAAAATATATATATATATCACCAAATGTGTCACATACCACAACATATAAAACATATCATATTATGAAGACTCATAAATTTCAATTGATTATATATGTATCTCTAATTAACAATCCTTTAATTATCATATTCTTATATGGTTCTTGCATATAACCTCAGTTTTAGTCTACAAAAGAATTACATGTACAAACCCTAGCCAAGGCTTTTCAAATAAGACTCAATAAAACCCAAGCTTGAATTATAAGTCCAAAGCCATATAACAGTACATGTCTGCTTAGTTATACTAACAAGAATAATTTCTATAAGAACAGTAAATAAGTAAATAATTACAAAAACTTGAGATGGAAAGAACAGTAATACATTTTACAAATACTCACTGTTGTACTCCAGTAAAGACTGTCTGTCCATTCCCACACTAATTCATCACCATCCTCATAGCCCTGGTATTCAGCTGTGAACCATATTGGCATGTCCAGGACCACTGGCCCTGTACTCTTCAATACCAAATTAGAATCTGAAAGAATAAATGAAATAAGTCCTTCCAAATAACTGTCAAGCAATTCTAGATGTCTTTAGAACTCAAAAAAAGTAAGTAAGTATGTACATAAGCACATGCACACACTCGCACGCACGCGCACACACACACACACACACACACACACACACACACACACACACACACACACACACACACACACACACACACACACACACACACACACACACACACTTACACACTTACACACTTACACACTTACACACTTACACACTTACACACTTACACACTTACACACTTACACACTTACACACTTACACACTTACACACTTACACACTTACACATACACACTGTAAGATATATAGAGGCTGGCAGGGTGGCAAAAGTTGTCCGCCCACCAGCCATGTGGGGAGAGGAAGGCTGGTGATGTGACCTGAGCCGGTGAGTGCTAGACACAAATTAAGGGGTCAAAAAAAGGTCAGATAAACTTATAATCTAAGTTGATGGTTCTCTACAGGACTTCAAGTCACATGGCAAACAGCCACATGGTTTAAGTCTAATCGCTTATACAAATCGTGCTTATGTACACAGTATACACACATATATAAATATGTATACATATATATGTGTGTGTGTGTGTGTGTGTGTGTGTGTGTGTGTGTGTGTGTGTGTGTGTGTGTGTGTGTGTGTGTGTGTGTGTGTGTGTGTGTGCGTGTGCGTGTGCGTGTGCGTGTGCGTGTGCGTGTGCGTGTGCGTGTGCGTGTGCGTGTGCGTGTGCGTGTGCGTGTGGTGTGTGTGTGTGTGTGTGTGTGTGTGTGTGTGTGTGTGTGTGTGTGTGTGTCTTTGTGTGTGTGTGTGTGTGTCTTTGTGTGTGTGTGTGTGTCTTTGTGTGTGTGTGTGTGTCTTTGTGTGTGTGTGTGTGTCTTTGTGTGTGTGTGTGTGTCTTTGTGTGTGTGTGTGTCTTTGTGTGTGTGTGTGTGTCTTTGTGTGTGTGTGTGTGTCTTTGTGTGTGTGTGTGTGTCTTTGTGTGTGTGTGTGTGTCTTTGTGTGTGTGTGTGTGTCTTTGTGTGTGTGTGTGTGTCTTTGTGTGTGTGTGTGTGTCTTTGTGTGTGTGTGTGTCTTTGTGTGTCTTTGTGTGTCTTCGTGTGTGTGTCTGTGTGTATATATATATATATAAATAATCAATAATAATATCACTGTGTTCCAACCATTCCAAAAACCTTATACATCCCACTAATATATATCCTGACTATTGGCACTCGTATACTTTTTGCCACTCAGCAAGGGGATTTTCTTTTCCTTTTTTTTTCTTATTTTTTGTATATATAGAACCTTGCATGTAGGTTGAATTTGATGATTTTTCAAGATCACATCGCATAGACATCAATTTCATTCCTATAGTGTTATCTGGTGTTTCTATGCATCACAGACTTTTCAAGACAGCTAATATTGAAATACCTATTCTTATACTTTCCTTTTCACAACAGGGGGAAGTCAGCATTATTGCCAACTGGACAGAGTGCGTTCATAGAGATACCTTGGAATAAAGTTTCTTTAAACTATTACATCCCCATTCCATCCTAACCATTCTTCTCGGCCATCTCTAAATAGAGATGTCATGCTTGTTAGATTTACGTGAGGTCTAAAAGTGTTGCCATGTGCTGGAATAATCTATATTGTAAGCAATCATCAGTTTACCCTATATATGCATTTTCACAGTTATTGGTATATCACTACATATTCACAGATGCATTTCTTATGTATAAGTCAATTTACAATAACCCAAAAATCTTCAAAATATATGTAATAATAATTGACCAATATCCCTAGTTCAAAGTAAAATAAATGTCTTGTCCTAAGGGATAAATTATCTTGAAAATAATCTGTGTAATAGAACCTAGTAAAGTATGCATCTTCAAATAATATCATTGTGACATAACAGTGGTGTATTTTGTACAAAATAAGATTTACTGTACATTTTCCGGAAAAATTTCCACCTGTCAACCAATCGTAGAGTAAAAAAAGTGTATGGAATGGATACCTTGACGAAAACTAAGACACTTTTCATCTATGGTAAAAGGTGCGCAAATCTAAAATAAGGGAGATACAGGACAGAGAAGAGAGAAGCTCGACCCTGCATTTGCACCTAGGAAGTTAATTTCACAAGCATACACATGGTAGAGAATTACTAACCCTTTCTAGAGCACAAAGCATTGGACTTCAAGGGAGCAGAGAGCCACAGACTTTGATAAACAATTGAGTTGTCTTGTTATGGTTTTCATGTTTGCTTTTACAGTATGGATGCACTAAGCTAGGGTAAATTGAAGATGATATTCTTGTAGAGGACAAAAAGTTGCAGTCATTGGTGCAAGAAATAATCTGCAGTCAAAAAGGGTAACACTACAAATAAAGGAAAAATATCCTAGATCCCACCCACAGCTTAAGTCCACTCGGTCCTCCTAAGTTTCAGCTCTATAAAGTTTGTGACATGGAGTTGACAAGTGCATTTGTAATGTCAAGAATTACCACTTTACTATATCTCTGCACGGTCGTCTCTAAAAAGGTTCCCTTCCTTATATTGCAATTACAAAATATTCTCTGGAGCATCTAAAATAAGCATGCAATGTCCTGACATATGTTCATGGTCAGGCTTTAGGAAGCGTTCTTTCACTAACCATACTATGAGTACCAGACATAATAGCCTCTAAGTAGCATGCATCTTACACTTTTTGCTCTTATTCAGTCCCTATATATCTATTCCAAGGATCAACATTGCTGCGCACATGAAAAGCTGGTGCAACTTGAAACAGGTTTTGCTTAGGAATTATAACCAAGCAATATTATCCCAAAACTCACCATCTTTACTTCCGAATATGCTGCCATATGCTGTATATATCAACAGAAGACACAAAAACACCTGCTGTTTCATATTGCCCTCAGCATCATACTTCCTATCTGTCAAGCTTTGTCACTCGCAGGTCGCAGAAACTGACTTTTGTTGTTACGGGCGATCATATGATAAAGCTCTGCGTGCCACATCTGCTCAATTTACTTATTCAACTTACGGCAAGGGATCTAAAAGAAACAAAAGATACATGCTCATATTATAATGTATTATTTTTACGTAATGAATTTTCATGAACTTTCGAAAAATGTAAACAAGAGTCTATAAACTTGTTTCCCGTGTTTATACATTTGGCAACACGGTTTTGGACTTGACGAGCGCGATTTCCCTCGTTCTGGTAACGCGTGACGTCATGCAATGACCCGTTCTACGCGCTATGCCCTCGTAGATAAAAGCGTTTCTTTGCAAGGTTTAAAATTGACATACTCAAAGGAAGAGTGTAAAAGAAAAGTGGTAAGGACTATAAGATTTTAAGCTGCAAGGAATATAAATAATAATTCAGCAAAAAAAAAAAAAAAAAAGAAGAATAGCTGCTTTGTCAGTCTTCGTCTTCCTATTTCAAGCTTTATTTTATGCATATGTGCCGATATTTTTTAATGTGGTTGATATTCCATCAGCAAAAAATACTGATATAAATATTTTTCAGAATGAGAGTTAAAACAAACTGCATGGCTATTTCTAATTTTACCATTACTTTCAGATCATAAGAGGCAGCCCCCCCCCTTGAAGAAAAAGCCGAAATGACGACCCTGATATAACTATTTACTATCATATTTATTTTCCGAAACGTGAACTGCAATGAACATTTATGGAAGTCAGTACGTATAACACACACACACACACACACACACACACACACTTCCTCAACTCCTTAGTCAAAATAAGCAATTCAAAGTCTTTATAGCACTAGTAGGGCTCTTTTCATTCTAATGCCGTTTTGAAACTTCAGTGCTCAATTAAAGACTTGTAACCCCTGGAATATCATTGTCTATCATATCGATTGCGAGCAATCGTCGGACATATATGACCACGTTTTAAAAAAGATGAAGTCAGCATAACGGCAAAATATGTGAGCAGTGACCATTGGAAAGTATAAATATCCCTTCCATTTTGCAATATAAGCCCAACCAAATCACCCTTATCATATTTTGCTTCTAAACATCATGGTGAATTTATCATTATGATAACTTGCTAGTATGAGGACTTTTATCCCATAATAGCATTAGGTGACTGAATTATTTCTGAAAACTTTTCACGCACGCACGCACACACACACACACACACACACACACACACACACACACACACACACACACACACACACACACACACACACACACACACACACACACACACACACACACACATGATAACTTGCTAGTATGAGGACTTTTATCC